TTCATGAATTATCATTGTCAATGGATTGGTTTTCACGGGGAAAATTTGCAGGTTTAAGTCCCATGATCTTCATGGGAAAATCACGATGGTTTCCGGTGAAGATTTTCCCCAACAAAACAAATCCGTTGACATTGAAGTTTTCACCATCCTCCATAGATCTATGGCAGTTATCAGTGGGAGTGGTTTGGCTGGCGCTTTCCCACGTCATGATTCACCAGTGAGAATCCCCAGGATGGACAGCTGTTCTTACCATCGATGGAATGATAAAAATCCATGAAAAACATGAATTATCCATTAATGATATGAATTATTGTTTTTTTGATGCTTTATCCACTACTTATCAACTAGATTCATGACCAATCGCTTTGGCCTTTGGCCAAAGGATCAGGACAGGACATTATTCGTGAATAGTCTATAGTCCATTCAATGATATCCACAATATTGTCCATGAATTATCCATGAACTTGAACTTTTCATGACTTCTCCATGAATAAACTGTGGAGAATCCATGAAAATTGTCCATGAATTATCCATGAACTATCAATTTTCCATGAATTCTCCACAGTTTCTGAATTCTCCGAGCCAGAGCTTCTCCGAGCCAGGCCTCTTTGGCCACGCGCAAGCGGGGACCACCTTGGCCTTGTCCAAGAAAGGATCCGGGCGGCTTGGCGTCGTTGATGTTGGTTTTCATGGTCGACTTGTTAGACATGTTGATTGAAACATGACTGAAACATGGGATATTAATGATTAATAGTGGGTTATATATGGTAAATATATGGATAATCTATGGTTCATCTATGAATAATCTATGGTTAATGATAATAATGGGATATGAATTATTAATAATGGGTAATATATCGTTTAATGGGATATCAACTGGGATTATGGGATAATGGGATACCCTCTGTCTGGTAAACGTTTACAGTTTGCGACATAGAAATTCTGGCCCATTGATATTTGACAAAAACCTATTAAAAATGGTGGATCTTTCCATCGTTTACCAGAGGGTATCCCAGCAAAGAGCCCCCCTTTTTTTTCTGCCGATGTTAGCCGATTCGCCAAGAGCTTCCAGAGATCTCCCGTGTCATCCAGGGGTTCTAAAAGACCAGGATTTCCCATATGAAAAGATGAAAAATATGGAGGTTTCCTAAAAAAGTGGTCCCCGCAAATCATCCACGTCATTCACGTCATTCAACCATTTTAGTACTTTTAGTACTTTTAGTATTGAAACAACCATGGAAACTTGGGGATTCTCCAGGACACAAGGAACCCCCCATTTTTGGCCTCATGAATTGGATGATCATCATCTTTATCCATCATATCCCACGATCCAGGTCCATATTCTCACAAATCCCCATATATATAAAACCCCTAATATATTCCCAATATATTCCCCATAGAGTCATTATATCATCCATATCGTTTCTTTATCACATTTTACCCTCTGGTAAACTAACATAACTATGGAAAATCCCCATTTTCAATGGGAAAAAATCCACTATAAATGGTCATTTTCAATAGCTATGTTAAATTACCAGAGGGTATCACCAACAGTTCAAGGCTGGCCATGTCCCAATGTCCCAAGGTTGAAGGAGATTCTGGACCCCTGTGCCTGGAAGTTTGGGGTTTGGGGGGCTGGCCCAGGAAGTTTGTGATTCATGGTTGATGACATCTGGTTATTGTGGTTAATTGATGTTCGGAACGTCAACACTTAAGATTTGGTTAATCATGAAGATTGACCAGAAAAACAGGATTCGGCAGATTCGAAGCCGTCTCACTGCTTGAAAAAAAAGATGCTGTGAAATTGTGAACGTTGTTTTCCTCTAGGAAAGAAGACATGAAACGATTTGCCATCATGGCAAAAATAAATACCCTCTGGTAATTTAACATAGCTATGGAAAATCACCATTTTTAATGGGAAAATCCACTATAAATGACCATTTTCAATAGCTATGTTAAATTACCAGAGGGTAGTTTTGCAACCTGTGTACAAATCCAAATGGATCCAATAGCTGCTTGGTGTTTCTGAATTTTATTGACTCAAAAATGGGATATCAAGCAGCGCAACACAGATGCAAACATGAAGGTGTTTCTGTGGTTGTTGGCCTCAACTATGTGTATTTGTCCATCTCTAATTTGGTTTCATGATACCCAAGTGATTCATTTTTTCGGTTTCGGTTGGAAAGGGGGCTGAACAACCCCAGCAGATGTCTTGTCCATCCTTAAGACTGGCACGATTTCCAACGTATCTTTGCTGCTATGTAATTGTTTTTGGGTTTTAACACAACGTGAAGTTGAATTTTTAAGTTTGAGAACGTAAATCGTCACTTGAGGGGATATGGCTATGGCTCAAAATGATGGCGCCCTCTCCAATTTGGTCAGCGCTTGGAAGGGTTGCTCAGCCACGATGAAATTCCCCATGTGATACTGTGGATGGTTGCGAAATCCTGCGCCAGTCGGTAAGTATATTGGGAACTATGAAACTAGTGCCAATAGTGAGATTCTAACGGGATAAACCATCTACCAACTGGTGCAGGATTTCTTCCATCCTTAGTATGGAGCTTACCATACATCTCAAGAAATTCCAGCAGCTTCCAGCAGGCCAACTCGCCATCAGCATAAATGATTAGCGTTGCTATTCGGGAAATCAGTTCGTCATGAATATTGCGTGTTCCAACATGAATTCCCCATGATTACAGTATTCATTATGTACCATCTGGTTATTTAACATAGCCATGGAAAATCCCTTATAAATGGAGGTTTTAATGGGAACATCATCTATAAATGGGCCATTTTCCATGGCTATGTTAAATAACCGGAGGGTATATCCCCATCAGATCATGGATTTCGATCATCCCCAAGACCAGCAATTGCAGCAATTGCCCATCTTATTGGTCAAGATTCTAGTGCCATTGAACAACATGGCCTCAAATCAGGGTTGGGATCTGTCGTACTCTCCATTGAATTCAGGGATCTTCAAGCTTGCGCCATGTTTGATTTCCGTATCGGGTATCCCCTTCCTACTATGTCAAGTTGGTTTTATATACCATTAAATCAGCAACGTCCTATCACTCGACTTAGTCATTATCCCGGGAGATATCCCCATGAGTATCCTATGAAAAATCACCATTTTGGTTGGTTAAATCTTCCCTATGCGTGGATCATCTGGATATCGGTACCGAGGCATCGAGAGGTTCCTTGAGACCAAGGCGATCATGAGATGGGATGCCATTTTTCCGTCTCATTGAGTGGGTTATAACCCATATATCCATATGCTCCATGTATGGTATATTTACCTACATTTGGCATTTGGGTGATTTTTAGGGCAAATGTTGGTAAATATTCCATACATGGAGCATATGGGTAATGATATGGTGGACCATAAGAGATTAATCCATATTAATCCAACAATGGTGATATGGAAAATCCATTTAATCATGAGATTAATCATGATTAATATCATGAATAATCCATATTAATCCATATGAAAAATCCATATTTAATCATGATTAATCCAACGATATGTCCATATATTCAGTTCATCCCTCTGGATAGATCATGCCCATCCCCAGCAGGTCCGGATACACGGTGGAGTTGGGTGAATTTTTGCTGGATGGGACCGGGATGAAAATATCATCTGAGTAATCCTTTTTAATGTTGGTTACTATGGTTAATTAATAGTAATAAAATATGGTAATTTACCATGTTTAATTTTGATGGATGGATTTAATATTGGGTTATAATATGGGTTATAATTATGGACCATACTAGTATATACTAGACTAGTTGGTTGAAAATGGTCCCTATGATGGAGTATCATATTCCCCAAGAACCATGTAGTATAACGCCTTCTAATGACCATTCAAACAGGGTATGTTTTAATGACTCGATCGGAACCAGCAAATGGTTTTCCCAGGAAACCAAAGGAAAGTTTGAAGTCAAAATTAATCATCAGCACATTGATATGATTTGATATGTCATGTTTTTTGTATATATGTATATATGTATGTATATATATGTATATATATATATATGGGAAACATGTTCCCGGAAACCGGCGGGTTTTCACCTCCAAATATGGAGGTTTCTGATTCAATTTTCACTGTTCAATGATTCATGATGATACAGAAGTGGGCAGCGAACCAACCCAACTGAGATACACGCTGCAAAAATATAGACATACATAACCAACCAAATTGAGTTGAGAGTATGTCCTTGCAAAAAATGAGGGTTCCTAGTGACCTACTAATTGTGTTCCCTGCCAACATGGACCATTAAACAGAGGCCTAGTCATATACCCACTAGTATTTTCACACGGCCATGGACAATCACTGCTTTTGATTGGTAAATCATCTAGAAACGATAAGACATGGCCGCCTGTCCATAGCTATGTTAAGCAACCAGAATGTGTACATATATATATATATACTGTATATTTATTATACATTATCTATATTATATATATATGGAACATGACTCAACATCAGGTTTGGGTTTAATTTCGGAGTTTCCATCTTTAAGATGTCTCGTATGTCTCGGTCGTGGAGGACCTCTAGTGGTACTTACATGTACTTACAGCTTCATAGCTTCAATTCATGAGGACGATCGGCATCTTTGTGACAGGATTACTATGACATTTGCGTGAAGCATGGTTTTGCCGCTTGGCATGGGACGGAACTGACCTTGGCCAGATTGGGGCAGATGGATTGGGGCATCCGATTAAAATTTATTTGGGTCGAGGCTTTGGGAAGTCTGGGGAAAACAAACGATGGATATAGTGAATAATCCATGGCGATATAGTGGATAATCTGCAATAATCATGAGGGTTTTGTGATTTTCCATGGCCTCTAGCAATTGAACAGAAGTGGTTGATCTGAGTTTGGCAAGTGGGATAATAATCCCGGTCAGGGGACCATCAAACTTGAATCACTGACCACATGAGACATGTTGGCAACAATGACAAGAGGAGGCCTTGCAGAATGACTGGACAAAGGAGTCACATAGGAGTCATTAACAGGGAAGCACAATGATGTACATGTGTGAACGGATGGTTTTCATACTGGTGTGGAAAAGTTGTCAATCGCATTCAACGCATTCAATGCATAAAAAATCCTTTCGTGTTGGACCAAACATACCCTCTGGTAAACTAACATAGCTATATAAAATCACTCTTTGAATAGGTAAAACACCTATAAATGCTCCATTTTCCATAGCTTTTTGTATATGTTTACTGGAGGCCATTCCAGTTGACAATTTTTGTTCTTTTTGCATCATTCTGCCGGGTTGTGGCAGGTGGCACCAGAAGACTTCTGGATAGACTGGGGTTTTAGAACGTTTATATAGTTTGTTGCTTACCCTCTGGGAAACTTTTTTCCATGTTGCGAACTGGAAAATCATCAGTTTTAAATGGGTACATATCTACTATTTTAATGGCAATTTTCAATAGCTATGTAACAAATTACCAGTACTATATCATACTATATCCATATATCATCATATAACCCCCCACCGAAGACTTCAGCAGACGGCTGGATTGTGAGCTGGGCCGGCTGGATGCAGACGTAGTCACTGGGAGCAAACGTTTGTTTGCTTCAATGGGGTACACCCCCACATGGCATTTTCGCAAAATTGATGATCCCATGAACTTTGGGAGTACCAAAAAAAATCGGACACAAGTTAGATATTGGCCCAAGACTAAGCTTTACTATTCTTAGTTGGTGGATAACTGTGATAACTCAAAGTTTGATCCAATATCAACTTAACTTAGCCCGCCGAATCCGCATGGTGCTTGGTGAAACCGCAGGTCAATTCCTGTTTCCCGAACGAGTTCTTCCCAAGCAGTGGCTGGGAACCCGGCAGACTTCCAGCTTAGAGATGTTCTCAGACTTGCTTTGCTTGAAAACCCATGGTTTCTGGTAGAAATATGTCTTTCCACTTCCAAAAATCCAATATGGAATGTGACATCCCATGTTTTTTATGGCTGATATTTCCACCAAAAATCATCAAAAATCCCAATGGAGCTATGGCAGGATCAACATCCATAAACTCCATAAATTGGGAGCGGTCCGGATGAGTTTTTCAACCATATGAGAGTTCATTTTAAAGTTCAACACTGATGAGTTGACTCTGGTCGTTTTTTGTTGTTTTTGTTGTTTTATGGTCACTAAATCGTCATTTGGAAATGAGGAGTTCCGTTAAATCGTGGCGTTTGTGGTTTGTCAGACACCTGGCCACTGTCGTTGCCATAGATGTTGTAGTAAGCAGATATTCATGGCATACCTCTGACCAACCAACATAGCTATATTGAAAATTGCCATAGAAATAGTTGATTCGTCGCGATTAAACATTGCGACTTTCCATCGGTTCTTTGTATGTTTACCCCTTTACAGTGTATCAATGGAAAACAGCAACAGCTTCGCAAAGTCCACAGGTTCCTCCGAGACCTTGACGTGGGAGTTGCCCACTGATGAGCTGAGCACCAAATGTGAAGATGGCTATTGCCCCTGCCCGGCGGAGACTTCGGACTGAGATCATGGATCCATCGGCTTCCCATCGGATTCGCTATGGGATGCCGGTCACACTAAATCCCATGGGAATTTTCAATGTATTGGTTGAGTTTAAGTGTTATTTCTTAAATAACACAAGCAATCCATGTGTATTTGACAACCAATCACACGCATATACTATATATATCTATATATATATATACATACACATATAACAACCTTCGATGAAAGATGCGATGACTTGTTGGCGACTGAAGGCCCCCCGCTTTCCCTCAGAAGGATTCGCGACGCCTCCCGCCACAGCTGCGCTGGTCATCGCAACGCAATTGTAGACGTGTGCTTTAAAGTTGGAGTTGTTTCACTGATCCATGGTTTTGATTACATGGATGTCTTAAAATGTATGACCCCAAGTAATGCTGACACGACATGTCGTCACAATATGTCACACTGCCGTGAGTTTGTTGAGCTTTTTTTTGGTTTTTCGGGGGAACAAAGACGCATTTGAGACATCCAGTCAGACTACGGTGACGACGGTGAAGACACATTGGGAACCCCCCATGACAAATTACCATGTAAAAACTCAGCCAATCTATGAATCATATCTGTCTGGTGGTGACTGGAACCATGGAATTTTATGATTTTCTAACAAAAAAAAGGGGAATCTCATCATCCCAACTGACGAACTCACTCCATCATTTTTCAGATGGGTCGGTATACCACCAACCAGATTATTCAACCATAATGTAGTTGAACAAGCCATCCATATTCTAGTTAGTATTCAACATTATTGTTATCATAGCTGTTAGTTCCAACCCATAACCCATAGGATCCATGTATGGTATATATGCTAACATTTGGGGTATATTGATGGTAAATGTTACCATATATATATATATAGCATACATGGATCCTATGGGTAATGTTATCTATGAATATCTATGAATCTGATCCATCCGGGTTCCCAACACAGCCTTCGCCGCCTGGCAGTGCCCCTGGATTCCAGTGGCTGCCGGGCCAAAAACCGTCGCCGATTTAAACGGAGGGCGACTTCTTCCGCGGACAAAAAACGCCCGGGAACCGGGAAACGCCCGGAAGACGCTCGGGGAATGGGTGAAACTTGGGTGAAAACTTGGATCATTGTTGTGTGATGTGGTGAAAAGAATCATCAACTAGCTATTTTTTTGAATGGTTTATCGGTTTATACATGTTTATACCACCCATAAAAATGGTGATTTATGGTGATTTGTGGTGATTTATGTTGATTTATGGTGATTTATGGTGATTTATGGTTATGATGTTTGGATGTTCCTGTTTTTAAGAGGTTTACTAACTTGATTTTCTTGGGATGGGGATGGTGGGGAATAATTAAGGACCGGGGAGATCCGCAGGGTAATATTCCACTAAACCGGGTTATGATCAGCTGCCAAGCAAATGGATATTTTTGTGGAAGGATTGAATATTGCCTTTGAATGGTACTTGAATGGTACTTGAATGGTACTTGAATGGTACTGACACCTTTAAACTCAAGTTGTTGCTTTAAGTTCAATTTTGACCCATTCACGTGTGACCGAACTTGTTTGGTGAAGCAGCTGAATGTTTGATGGACAACGACGGCAACTTGGGGTGTATCAACTTGCGTTCCTATTTGGAGATAGCTGCTTCACCATTTGCACTGAGTCCTTTGTAATCTCAGATATGCAGTTCTGTCCGCCACTATTTGTTCAACGAACAAATTGGCGGCAGCGGCTCCCACTCGCACATCGGCATTCGCGCTGGTAAAGGGCAAAAGGATCGTGGAGTTCTGCAATTCCAGTGCTGTGACAAAACTTCAATGTTTGTTGGCAAAAGATGTAGAACACCCCAGAATTGTTGTTGGGAACCCCTCGGGATTATCGGTCAGATACCCTGTGCTGGTAAATTCCATTTTTTGATATCCTGAGTTTCTTGCTGTCTTGAGATTAAGTCCAATTAAGTCCGCATTTTTGCTAGTTGAGTCTTCTGTCTTTTTGATAACACGGCTTTGTTGTCACTTCAAAAGGAAACGACTCAACGGCATTCAACGGCTAAACCGACAAACAAACTGCTGAAATCCATATTGATCCCAATGTTGAACCTCCCACCGCTTCACCCAATGTTGGTTAAAGGAACCGTCATCTTTGCTTGTAATTGTAGATCCAACAAATATATGAAAGTGAAGGCAAAGATTGAAATGCTTCATAATCCTTCCAAAATCCAAAACATTATACTAAGAAATGGCATTTTTCAATGCTTCGGAATAGATCATGTTCTATTTTTTTCGCCCTCGAACAGCTTCAGAATTCTTCCAAAAACTTCACCTCAAACCCACCCAAAATCGGTCGCCCAGGACCTCCTGATGCTTTCCGTCAGTCGGCCATCTCGCTTTGAGGCGAAGCCATAGAGGTTTTAACTTTTTTTTTGCTATAGAAAAACATAGAAAACCATGGAAATATAGGAAATTCATGGGAATATAGGAAACATATAGGCATATAGGAAAATCATGGAAATGTCATGAGTTTTTTTTTTTTGAAATGAAAGTTTCTGGCTGCTATAATCAACGGAGTATAGCTGGTGGATTTTCTGTCTTGACATGTGACTGATTACCAGAGGGTATCAATGCTACCAACTGTGGTCATTTGGTATGATGTACGCCTAGCATTATTAAAATACGAGTATCATTTTTAGCGCTCGCCATGCTCAATCACTTCATTAATTTCCATGCTATCCCCCATGGCTGTGCCATCAGATCAAAATCTGGGTAATTACAGCCAATTAGACCATGTTAGACAGCCGGTCAGCATCCATGCATTCCATTGCATTCCTGGGGTTGATTGACACTCACCATCATTGCACTAAAGTATCTAAAGTCCTAAAGTGACTAACACACAACGCCAAGAAAATTGCTATCTATAGATATTGGACGTCATGCCATGGGCTTCCCAGGTGACAATCAGTAGCCATGGACAGTGGATACCTCAGGAGTGGATGGTGATGGGCTTCCACGGTGGATCATGATGTTTCATGTTTACCAACTGTGGAGATGTAGCCACCATTCAACATGAGAGATAGATTATGGAGAGACCTTTTCTATTTAAGGTAAAAGCTGGGCACACCAACTGTCAATTTAAGAGGCAGTTCAAGAGTTTATTTTTCTTGTCATTAGTGGGGATGTACATGTATGTATATGCAATATTATGCAATACATACTGTAAAACATTTAGATGTTTTTCTTTTGCAGGATCTCTACGAAATGAACAGGGCTATTTGGGAAGAACGTTGGTGAATGCTTGGTGTGTGGTTTTCGGGCTCTGAAAAGCCGTGGCAAATTTAACTTTTCCCAAGGACTATTCGGACGGTTGATGGTGGTATTGCGACCATAAGTGTGGTACAACGGAAACAGAGAATTTCAAGCTGCCAAGCTGGGATGAGAGAGGATGATCCGTCAACCCCATGGGATATTACAGAACAACACCTTTGGAGAGGGATATTCCACCAGCAGTTCCATGGGAGTAGTTCCATTGGGTCCCTGGAAATTCCACCCAGTTGTGTCATTTTTATCATGATTCTTGGCCAGTTTTTCATCCCACTGAACTATGGCAACTTGGCAATTATTGTTCCCTCAAACTTGGGATACTTTGTGGGAGTTCATGATTCATATACCCTCTGGTAACTCAACATGGCTATTGAACATGGCCCATAGTTGATTTGCCTATTATAAATGGTGATTTTCCATGGTTTTTTGTATACCAGAGAGTACCCTCCACACTCTGCCTAGGTTGGGAATGAAGTTGAACTACAAGAACAACTCCGCTGGTATCTGCATCACAGCCATCACCGATGGAGGCGACATTTGCCATGGTTTTTTTTGGGGGGGTCCAAGAAAAACAACGCATTTGGCTTCCTACAATCCTTACAATCCTTTTTTTGGGTCAATAAAATTATGGAGATTGAGGATCCAGTGGTAAATCCAGTGCCTTCTTCAACCGGCCTCACTCCGGGATGGTTGATCGTTGGATTGACCAAATGAACCTTACTATCTGCGGATTTTATCACTTTTGTACACCAAAAACAAACAGATCGTTTTTTTGAGGCCGCAGAATTGTGTATTGAACCCACAAAAAAAACTTTTGACGCATGATTCGCAGCAAGCCACAATGTCCGACCAAGCCCCAATGTTTGATGGTTGATGTTTGAAAATCCATCAATTCCCAGGCCTTGGGTCAGGTATGGGATTTATCATGGTCTGAATGGGGAAAATTATGGAAGATTCATGTTTCGGTCGATGTTGAGACAACCATAATATCTCGTAGATGGAGCATATGGGAAATGTGGGTGCCCGGCTGGGATTTGGTGTTGGGTATCAACATGACTTGCTACATACTTGGCTCATATACTCAATGGGCTGCTTTGATATGTCCCAAATAACATTCAAATAACTATTTGAGAGCCCATATCAATATCCCAGATATTGCACAGTCCTGCTAATATCCCGAAATAGACTGTAGCTCCCAAGACACCAGGCCCCCCTTGGGAACACGTCCCCTTCCATGAACGGGAAGATTTTACAGAAGCCCCAAACGGTTTTGACTCATCCCCATAGACTAGCCTCTTGTAATACCGTTTAAAAAAAAACTATGGAAAATCACCATGTTTAATGGGTAAATCAACTATAAATATGGCCATTTCAACAGCGAAGTGTAAACGTTTACCATAGACGAACAGATGTTGATGATGTTGATCCGCTGTCCTCAAGAGGTCTGTTGGACAAGTGGAACAAAGCCAATTTCGATCGCCAAGCCCTGCCAGGCGTGTCACCCAAGGGGATCCAAGGGGGATCTGTGATGTGTTGAGGTCATGGCTTGTCACGATTCACCCTTACAAGTTGGGTGATAAATCATGATATACCCTCTGGTAATAACTCACATAGCTATTGAAATGGCAAGTTTTCCATAGCTATGTTAGTTTACCAGAGGGTAATATGATATCATGTGAAAATCAGAACACATGTTACTACATGTTACTAGAGGAAAAGTGGGAAGATGATTCTGGATGAATTTACTTATCTGGTTGGTGGTTTGGAACATTTTTTATT